AGGCGGACGAGCGCCACGTCTTCACCAACCCCGAACCGGGAGTCTACTGCATGACCATCAAGGACGTCTGCATGAACGATTACGGCCCTGTGAGTGCGCATCGAGTGTAATCGTGTAATTATATCAAATGTGCGGAAGGTGACTGAAGCAGTCGCGTATTAAAGACTGAGATAAATATTTGCTTAATATCCTCTAGATACCTTCAGTAGTTATTCAATAAATATAGCGTTAAGATTGAAATTAGATTACGATTCGTAGAACAGAAGTGATTGAAGCATATACACCATAGGTAGGTATTTTGTCAAAATAGTTATGTATAACACAACTACTAACAATTACGATGCGTATCGGTATCACGCAACCACATGAGACCAGATTAGAGCAAGGCATTACCCTCAGGTGGCGGTCGTGGCCAAGAGTCTGGTGGGCGAGTGCGCGTCGGCCGCAAAGTTCTCGCAGAAGAAGATACCCTGCGAAGTGGTTGAGGGCCTGGAGAACGTCACCAAGGGCGCCGAAGGGGATGACGTCTCTCTCACCGTCAAGATCAGGGCTTCGCCGAGACCCAACTTCGTTTGGTTAGTGTCGTGAGAAAGTTGTCGGCATAAGTATTCAGAACCCTGAAGAGTAGCATACCCTGGTACTGACGGTGAGAATCTTTAACAAAAAGCCTCCCGTTAAACAAGGCGTAGATACACTGATCTCTTCCTCTCGTCCTCAGGACGAAGGACAGCGACAACTGCGAGGCCAGCGAGAAGATCATAATCGAGATGAAGAAGACGTCGTACTGCGAGGCGACCATCTCCCTCACTCTGGTCGAGGCCTCCTCCATCGACTCCGGCCAGTATCGCCTCAGGTTCCAGAACGAGCTTAACGAGGAGAGCTCAGAGACCGCACTCATCGTCAGGCGTAAGTGAACGGAAGAGGCAGCCTTCATGCTTTAGGGAATAATGTTATACATGACGCCATACATAAGTACATAGTTGCTACTAAGTATATACATAAGTACATAGTTGCTACTCTCCCAGTACTTATTTCCTTCAGTTACAGTTACCTAGTCAATACTTCACACGGAAATTGTTATTTTACGAGTTCTGCAATCACGATATAAAGACGGCCTTTTCCTATCAGATTTTTTTTTTTTCATTTTCGTGTGTATACATTACCGAGTACTTAACTTTCTGAGTTAAGAAACTCTGTCTTTCCAGCCGAGCGCAGGAAGCCCAAGATCACCAAGCCTCCCAAGGAACTGCAAGTCTTGGAGAGGAAACGCGGTATTTTCCAAGCCAAGGTTACTGGATTCCCCAAGCCCGAGGTCAAGTGGTAAGTTGTGTCGGGAGTTTACTGTGTATCATTTTTTTTTTTTTATCTCATGCATTTGTACTTCGTTACCAACACTTATTCATTTCCCCTTTCCTAAAGGATGAAGGATGGACGGCAGATCTACCCGACAGACATCATTGACACTGGTGTCACTGGAGACGGATTCCAGTACCTTGAGTTCAAAACAGTTACCATGGAGGACGTTGGTCAATACACCATCTTTGCTTCCAACGAAGAGGGAACCGCTGAAGCCCATGCTTCACTCACTGTCGTTCGTAAGTAACCTTCGGGATTACAGGAATCATTTTGTTATACTTCATACATGATGAACATTTGTTACATTCATATATATCGCATCTCTTCCGAAGAGTTAGTTAATATACTAATATATCTTATGCTGACATTTTTCCTGCTACGATCAGCTCCTCCATCGAAGCCCGAGTTCCTCCAGAGCTTGAAAGCCAGCAAGGTCATTCTGGGATACCCAGTTAGGATGGAGGTTAAGCTTGGCGGACACCCGATGCCAGAAGTCCAGTGGTGAGTGAAATGGATCAGATTCCAAGTCCCGAATGTCTCTCTCTCTCTCTCTCTCTTTCTCTGTCTGTCTGTCTGTCTCTCTCTCTCTCTCTCTCTCTCTCTCTCTCTCTCTCTCTCTCTCTCTCTCTCTCTCTCTCTCTCTCTCTCTCTCTCTCTCTCTCTCCTGTCATCGTCCTCCCTCACTTTCTCTTTCTCTCCCTCAGTCTCTCTCTCTCTCTCTCTCGCCATCGTCCTCCCTCACTTTCTCTTTCTCTCCCTCAGTCTCTCTCTCTCTCTCTCTCTCTCTCTCTCTCTCTCTCTCTCTCTCTCTCTCTCTCTCTCTCTCTCTCTCTCTCTCTCTCTCTCTCTTTCTCTTTCTTCTCTCTCTCTCTATCTCTCTCTAACAATGGTCATGGGGGAAGAGTATGTATCTATCTATTAGGGCTGACATCAAGGCGGCCAAGGTCAACATAGGCAATAATAAAGAAATTATATTACTGCGACGTGGTAGACCATCAAGAAACTAGTTCCCAATGCTTAGAGTAATTGCAAATACATACATAGTGGCGATGACACGTGGGAGAGCAAAGAAATTTTGTTTGTTTGTTTGTCTTTTGTAAGTGCTTATGGAAAGTCACAAGTGAATCTAAACTTACATGTTACT